ATTCTAAGAGATTCATATAAAGTCCCTCACAGAAGAGGGAAGGGACAAGACCCCCAGAGCACAGGGGAAGTGGGGGGGGCAGCAAATGGAGAGAGAAGTAGGAGAAAACGAGGGTGAAGAAAGGAAAACATGTGCGACTAGGAAGATTGAGCCTGGTTAGGAATAGAAGACAAGAAAGAGAGAGAGAGAGAACATAAAAGAGGGAGCCAATATTGGTTTGAAGATAAAATTGAACACAAAGAAAGGTTTAGAGAACTACAAGACTGCCGCCAACTAACAATTTGAGCATCCGTGGAAAGGCTACCATAAATGCCCTTCCCGGAGAGTGAGATCAACAACTAATTTATCCATGGAGCCCTCATCTAATACCTGTTGGAAACAGGAGCAAACACCCATACATAAACACTGAGTCGAACTAGAACCCAGATGCAGATGGAGAGGACAAGACCAGGCTGCAGAAACACATAGAGACAGCTTACCTGAACAAGGAGGAGCTAACGGGCCCCCAGACTGATAGCTGGGAAGCCAGTGTGGGACTGACTCAGGCCCCCCTGAATATGGGTCTCAGCCAGAAGGACTGAGCAGTCTAAGAGACCTCAGACAGTGGAGCCAGGATGTATCCCTGGTGCACAAAAGGAACTTGTGAACACATCCTCCATGGAGGGATAACTGCCTTAATCTAGAGACAGGAGAGAAGCCCTAGTCCCTACTTCACATGACCTGTCAGATCTACATGACCCCAACATATGGAATTCGGGTGGGGGGGATGGGAGGGGAGGGTGGCTAGGGTGCATGTGAGAGGGCAGATAGGGTAAAAGTGAGTGAAGGAGGGAAGGAGGGAGGGAGGGAGAGAGGGAGAGAGGGAGAGGGTACTATGTCGACATGTAAAATAATAAATTAAAAAAAATGCTTTGACTCCAAAATTTAATTTCAAGGACAAGTTACTGGGGAAAAGGATTTCTATTTTTGTTTCCACAGAAAATGAAAAGTGGTGGATTCCTTCCAGACTAATGTGGTTTGATCAAGCCAGACCACCTGAAACAGAGTACCAGGGGATCCTACATTCAAAACAGCTGGACAAAGCAGCCTTTGCCAGGATTTCTTCATCTTCTTAGAATCCCCCATGACAGCGCCCCTTACCAGCAGGAAGTAGTTTGGAAAGAATGATGCCCAAATTCCCAAATATTGTCTATAAATGTTGTTTGTTTTCATTTAAATGGACTTGGTTTTATTAAAAAAAAAAAAAAAAAAAAAAAAGGACATGCAAACCAAGAGCAACTTAGGGAAAGGAATTATCTAACTTATGCTTCCTGGTCACAGTCATCATCGAGGGAAGTCAGGCCAAGAACTCAAGCAGGAACTTGAAGCAGAAAGCATGGAGGAACTTAGCCTACTCATGCTTAGCAAGCTTTATTTATTTTTTGAGATTATAATATAGTTACATCACTTTCCTCACTCTAACCCCTCTCATATACCTTCTTGTTCTCATTCAAATTCATGGTCTCCTTCTCTGTAATTGTTTCACATGCACACACATGTCTGTCATCTATCTATCTATCTATCTATCTATCTATCTATCTATCATTTATCTATCCATATATATATATATCCATATATATATCCATATATATATATATGGATTTACACACACACACACACACACACACACATATATATCCTGCTTACTTCATATAATGTTACTTGTATGTATATGCTTTCAGGGATGCCCATTTGGTATTGGATAACCAATTGGTGTGCTCTTCCATGGGAAGACTATATTTCCCACTCTTAGTGTTCCTTAGTTGCCTGTAGTTCTTTGTGTAGGATGGAGGACTTTAGCACATCTATTGAGTTTGTCCTTGTTCAGCTCATGTTTAGGTAACGATGTGAGCGATCTCTCATGGGTGTAGCTTCTCTGGCATTTCTAGGAGACACAATCTCACAGAAAACTTTCTGTTCCTTTGGGTCTTACAGTTTTTTCCACCCACTCTTCTGAAATAATCCCTGAGCCTTAGGTGGAGAAGATTGTTATAGATGCATCAGTAGGGACCTGGCTCCACAACTCTGCATTTTAAACCATTTTCTATTATTGTCACTGTCTGTTGCAAAAAGTTTCCTTGATGAAGGATGAGAACTATATCTGTGGCTATAAGGGTAAACATTTGGAATGTAATTAGGGATTATGCTGGTTTAGACTTCACTAGTTTTGGGTATTTGGTTAGGTTTCTAGTACCAGGCATGATTCCCCTCTTGTTGAATGAGTAGCTAGCTCTCTTACATAGCCCAGGGAATGGTATCACCTACAGTGGGCCCTTCTACATCAATTAGCAATCAAGATTATCTCCTCCAGGTCAATATGAGCTGGGTAATCCTTCATTTGAGACTCCCTTCTCAGATGACTCTGGGCTGTGTTGACAATAAAGATTCCTCAGAAGTATTTCCACTCTGTTCTTAGGCACATAGGGACTGTACCTACTGCTCGGGGCTGGGCCCAGTAGGGAAGGGTTGGGAGGTAGCAGTCACAGAGCTCTCCAAGCTGTGCATGGTGTTTCTGTGCTTCAGTGTCCTGTGTGCCAATGATGTGTCAGAGGAGAAGCAGGTGGCAAATGAAGTTTGAGGTATCAGCCCACCAGGAGGTGGATCCCTGATGGGTAAATCTGGGATAGGCATGACCCCAAGACCACAGATTCTAGAATGTCTTTTGCTTCTGCTGGGCCATGTCTGCTGCTGCCATCTTTCTCTGATATCTGGCATGGTATGAATGAGTGTGAGGAGATCCCCACTGCCTGTAATGTAGGGTATTTATCTCATGGATACATCACATACTATTACACTTTTACTTGTGGATTATTATGAAGATGATTTCTTCTTAAACTGTATTATCTAATTGATAATAATAATGCTAGTTTAAATAGAGTTTTGATGATTAAAAATAAATGTAAGGAAGTATTGCACATCTAGAGCCTATGAGTTTCACCTAAGGAGCTGCATAGATCACAGTTAAGGTCAATGATTAAAGAAACAATTGTCTCCCCAGGAGACAGGCTGGCTTGAATTCTTTTAATCTTAATGTCAAAAAATGCACTCACAGGTTTCAGTGTGTGTCATTAGATGAAACAAAGCCTTAAAGTAACTTTGGGTTAGATTAGGTGCTTTGATAATAGCTTTGAGATGAAAAATTCTAGAAAACAATCTAAAGTTCACAAGGACACATAACTGAGTTATAGATTCATTAGGTTAGGGTAAAAAATACAAAAATACTAGCTGATGCACTTTCCCACCATAGGATTGGTGGGTGATCAAAAACAATGATTAATTTATTGTACCCATTTTTGTTCTCAATCTCCTGATATAAGAAACTATTAATGCACCCAAAGATTTAAATTAAAGCTAACTAATTGTTTTTCATGTATAAAAGTCTAGGTTTATGATTCCTTTAAAGAGTCTTCATAAGGTTACCTTTTAATAAAAGTAATAAAGTGATTGATTCTTTCTTTGTAACTGCAATATGCAACCTTCCAGCAAAAGAAATGGCTGAGAAAAAATACCCTGGTTGCTTGCACTCTGTTACTTAGGTGTAAATGTATGTGGGTTCTTGGGATGACTTTGCTTTATTCATGTAAGGGAGATGAAAACTACATTTTTACCTGCATTCATTTTAATCATTCACTTGGAAAAAAGATGTAACCACACTGCAATTTCTATATTTCCTGAAAGATTTTGTTGGGGTATATAAGCTGTAGAAGAAAAATAAAGAGACCAAATGCAGATCAGAATACAAAAGGAGAATAAAGAAAACATCTGAAGGAAACCATCAAGAGAGCGAGTTGTCTTTTCCCTTACCCCCTCAGATAAAGAAGTCTTAGTATACCAACTCCATGGATCCCCTTCAAGCCCTGTACTGCTGAAGGCTGGTTCCCCAGAGAGAGAGAGCAGAACATGGAGGGACCTAGCACCTCAGCAAAGGCCAACATGGGAGGTTGTCTTCCTTGTCACACACACCAAGGTAATGTGTCCATGATGAGGTGGCCTCCACTGCCCCTGCTGCTAAGTGGACTCAGGAATCCCCATAGAACCAACACTGCATTCATCTCCCTTACTAATTCATTCCTTTTGCTCTGCCCTTGTAATTCTAGGAGACAATTCTCAAAAGTCTCTCAGCAATGGTGAGGCCACATTTGCCCATGTTTGGACATCATGTTCTTCTGTCTCCTGTGGGCTCATTTGCTTACCTGGGTTTATGGCCAGCCCCATCCCATTGTACACCATGCTTTATCCTCCATCTGCAGGTGGGGAGCCAGAGGAATTCTGGTGTTTGCTCAGCACATGGATAGGCAGGAGGACAAGATGCCTACAATTCCCCATAGTGGACCCGCTGGGTGCTGGGCCAGAGACCAGAGTTCCCTGATCTTCACCACACACACACACAATGGTGAACAGGAGCAACAGGCTGGGGTGCTTTATTCAGAGCCTAAGTGCTACTCAGGGCGAGGACCAGTGTGCAGAGTTTCTGCTGCCCACAAGATCTGGAAGTGGCCAGCAGCAGAACACTATATGAAGAAACAGGAGTTCCAGATCATATCTGATGAACCCCATACCCCACACTGCTGATACAGAGAGAGTGGAAGGGCACAGGTCCAGAGCCAGGTGCATAGCCCAAGGACAGGTGCAGATCTAGGAGCCAGATACAGGCCTGGGAACCAGGTGCAGGCCCCAGAGCCAGGTGCAGAGCCCAGAGTCAAGTGCAGGCCCCAGACCCAGATACAGGCCCAGGAACCAGTTGAAAAGCCCAGAGACAGGTACCTAGCCTAGGGTTAGGTGCAGTCCCAGGGACCAGATTCAGGCCCCAGGGCCATGGGCAAAGCCCAGAGCCAGGTACAAAGCCCACAGCCAAGGCAGAGCTCACAACCAGATACAGGCCCAGAGCCAAGTGCAGAGCACAAATCCAGGTGCAGGCCCAGGAGCCAGTTTTCTGTATGACAGTAACTACAGAGATGGAATGGGACAGAAGAGGTTTTATTGGTGCTCAGAGGACAAGAGTAACACAGCTGATAGCAGAACCAAACCAGCCAGATTGGGAATGGTTGGAACAACCAGCATTTTTAGGAGCTGAGGTAGGAGAGTAGCTGGAGGACACTCGGGCTCCAGACCTGGCTGGGCTGGTGAAGGAAGGGTAAGAGCAAGTGGGCCCAGAGCATCCAGCAGGACCATAGGTCAGGGAAAGTGGATGGGAATCAGGCTCACAGTTGGACAGTCAGCAGCATGAGGAGGAAGCCTTGCAGCAGACAGGCTTGCAGCAAACTGGCACACAGCAGGATGGCTGGCAGGGGGAGCAGGTGCAGCAAGCTGGCTGGCAGCTAGAGCAGATGGAGACACAGCAGACTGGCTTGCAGCAGACAGGCTTGCAGCACAGGGTTACACAGCAGGGTGAGGAGGTGCAGCAAGCTGGCTGGCAGCTAGACTGCTGGCAGCATAAGGGTGTGCAGCAGGCAGATTGGCAGCAGGGGCTGGACACACAGCTCACTGGGGTGCAGACAAGAGTAATGCAGGAGGATGGGCCACAGCAGCTGGGCTGGCAGCAGCTGGGGACACAGCAGCTGGGGACACAGCAGCTGGGCTCACAGCAGCTCTCTGGGCAGTCATCCACCTGCCAGGAGGAGTTGGTGCAAGCGTCAGAGCAGACAGACATGGTGGAGGTGGCCATGGTGGGGTTGGATGGAGTTGGGAACGTATGAGTGTGTTGAGTGCCTGTGAGTGTCTTGAGTGAGTGTGCGTGTGTGTGTGAGGTTCTCTGGGCTCTGGGCTTTTATCCCTCAGGTGTGTTTTGCTGCTCTGTGCCCTTCCCCTTCCTTGTTGTTCAGTCTAGAGGGTGCCCAGGGCTCAGTCATAAACTGCTGTGCTGGTCACTCTGCCTGGCCCTGTGGCTGGGCTGTCTGCACTCTCTATCTGGTGGCCACTTGTTAGGATTTTGGAGCTGACTCTTGGCTCTGAGGATGTACTCTGTGTCCCAGCTTCTCTGACCTCAGTGGGGTGACCTGACAGACCTGTGACTAGAAAAGAGAAGGCAGGCACCCTGCTCTGGAGCAGGCAGTGAAAACATCCAATGACGTTCCCATGGTCCAAGGATGGGTCAGTTGTCAGCAGCCAGCCAAGGGCCTCTTGGATATGAAGATGGTCACTGAAGCCCAGCCTGGGCTCCTAGGCATTTGGAAATCACACTAAAGTCTAACCTAGCCAGAAGTCAATGCCCCCTGGAGCCCAGGGTCACTTGTCCTGGGTCAAAACCTGAGGCTGGGGGTGAACATACAGGCTGCAGGAGGCAGGCATGGACCAAAGTCACTTGGAGCTCACTTATCCTGGGTGGCTGTTAGGGAGGTAAGCGGGGTAGAGGGCTGGCCCTGATCCCAGATGCCCATCTCAGGCCTCCTGCATCCCAGTGTCCTCCCCCTATCTCTTGTCAGGTTCCGAGTGTGGGCAGAGTGACAATGTTCATGCCTTACACAACCGAGTCTCTCACAGAATGGAGGCCTCCTTAGAGTTCTCAGCTGACATGAGGGAGGGGTGAGTGGGGCTGCTGTCACCAGAACTTCTCCATGCTGTTCTGGGGTCTAGGAAAGTGACACACCAAGAGTCGAGATGATAGCAAGCATGTCTAGTGTCTGTGTGTGAGGGAACTCTCCACTGACAATTGAGTTGCCTGTCTGAGGAGCTGTTCTGCCCGGGCTCACAGGAGGCCAGATGAAGAGAGGTCTGAGCACCCAGGATCCCACCCCCACCCTCAGGAGCAACTGCTGGGTGCGAACAGAGGGAAGCAGAAGCCACTAGTATAAAACACCCATGAGACTCTCAGACAGTGTCAGGTGTTCACAGAGCTCCAAAGCCTCACCAGAGACCATGCTCGTTCCCTGACAAAACTCAGGACATGACGGCTCCAGGGCATAGGGCTTCTGAGGATTTATTTGGCTGAGGTCATTGGGTTTTGACCAAAGTTCCATCCAAACCCAAGTGGTTTTTCTATACACTCAGGACATTCCATGCTCTGTCTCTGTCAGCCATAACCCTCTGTGGCCACCCAGAGGTGACGCCACAGACTCAGCTTACTGTAAGACTTGCTTAGCAGAGTCCCAAGGAGTGTGAGCAAGGGGACAGGGGCCACAGGGAGACAGCAGCAGCATTTGTCCCCAGTGGAACACAGGGAGCTTTGTGCCGTGACCCAAGAGCAGGAAATCACAGCGCACAGACTTGAATGATAGATTCCGCGAGCTCAGAAAATGGTCCTTGCCATGGTGAGGACAGGGACAGGGGTGGTGCACAGAATGCCCTGAGAACCTGCTGTGTGCCGGGCAGTAGTCTCAGCACTTCCTGTCTGTTGTTGTCTGAGTGTGAAATGTGTCCATAAGTATGAAATGTGTCCCCAAGTGTGAGATGTGTCCACGAGTGTGAAATGTCTCCATGAAGCTCACTATGTTTTTGAACACAGAGCCTGGCTGGTGGTAGAAAGTCACAGTGGGTTGCGGCTTGGGGACTACAGGTTGACCCTCTTGGCCGGAGTTTCTGCCCCTTGGCCCCTAAGATGTGAAACGAGCAGTCATGTGCTCCTCCTGCCACACCTTTCCACCAGGACTTAGTGTACCCTCTGGAGCCATGAGCCCAGATTGATCCCTCTTCCTGAAACTGGGTATTCGCTACTCATGATTGGGAGAAAAAGGACCCCTACAGAAAACCAGACTGGGGTGTCACTGTTGCTGTGGTGTGTCTGACTGTGTGCTCAGGCCCTCCGACTGGTGTATGGAAGGAATGAGGAAGAGTCTGGGACTGGAGAAGTCCTGCACTATTGTGAACTGAGCTTAATGCACAATTCTGGTGGCGGTTCACATGATCAGAGGTCAGTGCAGACAGTGAAGACCTGACTCTCGATATTTCAAAGACCTGGGCTCCAGGCCATCCAGGATTACAGCCGGTCAAAAAAGCTGGCTACATTCTGCCCATGTCTCAGAATATTGAATAAGACTAAGTTAGAAACTAATGGACTTATTTGTGATGGAGGGATTGTTAAAGGATAGGCTAGGATCAGTCCTGTGGCACAGTTGATGCTCACTGCCTTTTTTCAGGTTTACAGTGAGAGTTCTGAATAGAAAGAAGAGCAGGGAGATGTGGAGAATATGCAGTTAGGTGGGAAAGATGTGGGAGAGAATTTGAAGTCTCCAACAAAGCAGCTGTCTAGATAGCAGATGCCAACAGAAGCAATTCATACTACCAGAGAAGCTAGATACAAGGAGGACCCCGAGGGATTCATACAAGGTCCTCCACAGAAGGGGAAAGGGACAACATCTCCTGAGCATATTGGGAGCGGGGATGGGGGGCAGTGAGTGAAGAAGGAGTTAGGAGAAACAGAAGGGGAGAAGAGGAGGGGTGAGGAGAACATGAGGGACCAGGAGGATTGAGTTGGGGGATGAATAGACAAGAGCAAGAAAAGAGATACCATAATAGAGGGAGCCATTATAGGTCTGAAGAGAAAACTGACTCTAGAGAAATGTCCAGAGACCTACAACAATGACCCCCAACTAACAATCTGAGCAATAGTGGAGAGGCTACCTTAAATGTCCTTCCCTGATAATGAGATTGTTAAATAATTTATATGCCATCATAGAGCCTTCATCCAGTAGCTGACAGAAACAGAAGCAGACACCCACAGCTAAACACTGAGCCGAACTGGAATCCAGTTGCAGAGAGGGAGGAGTAATAAGCAAAGGGGTCAATACCAGGCTACAGAAACCACAGAGACAGCTGACCTGAACGAGGGGGAGCTCATGGACCCCAGTCTAATAGCTAGGAAACCAGAATTGGACTGACCCCCACCCTCTGAACATGGGTCTCAGTTAGAAGGCCTGGACAGTCTACTGGACCTCTGACAGTGGAACCAGGATGTATACCTGGTGCACAAAAGGACTTTGGGAACTAATTCTCCATGGAGGGATACTCCCTTAACCTAGAGACAGGAGGGAGCCTAGGCTCTACTCCAAATGGCTTGACAGATTTTGATGATCACTCCTGGAAGGCCTCACTCTCCCTCTAGAGTGGGTGGGGAATGAAATGGGAGGGGGGGTCTGGAGGCATGGGAGGATGGGAGGGTGAGGCGACTGGGATTGATATGTAAAGTAAGAAAAAAATAGTTTAAAAAAAACCCAAATATATATATATGTGTGTGTGTGTGTATGTATGTATGTATGTATGTATGTGTGTATGTATGTATGTAAGTGGCAACTGCTAAATAGATAAGTAAATAAGGAAAAACTCCACACGATGAACTGGGTCAATAGAAATGAGGCCTTGAGGGTGAGAACGTGTCCACTCTAGGGCAACTTGTTCCAACAAGTTGATACAGGTACAAGAGGCTGCTTTGGCTGTGGGGAAGAGGGCCAGGCTAGGTCTTGAGCTGAGGACACAACCCGCTGTCGCTGTGTGTGTAGTGCTGTGATTTTAGTTGCAGTGTCATGGAGCATGTGCCAGGAAGCCAGAACCCTGTGAAGAAAAGCTGCAGGCATGGGGTGTGGCTTTTCAAAGAAAAGCCATTTCATGGAAGTTCCCTGTTGCAGGGAGTAGGACTGTAGAGGAAGCTATGCATGACAGATGTAGGGTGGCAGGGGCGAAGCTAGAGGGTTCTGCAGGGGTGAGGCTTGAGGGTTCCAGATGGACTCTGCTTTGGTGCTGAGCTCTGTGTTTCCTGGTGAGCAGGCATGAGGGTGCCCAAGGAGCCTGTACCACATGACCCTGATGTGGTGAGTACCACCATATTTTATCCGCCATGATGGACCAGTGAGAAGCCAGCATAAATCCTTAAGTTGTTACCACTAGGAGAAAAGTAACTAATTCAACATCTAACCCCTGTCATATCACCTAGATTAATTTATATCTAGACAGGTAAGGAGAACCTGGCACAAAGGTATGCTGCCTTTCCTTGGCTGCCCAGTAAGACAAACCATGATTCCCAAACTCCAAAACAGAAGTCAGGAAGTTTGCAAGGAAATGTAACCCCAAGCAGCTGGGTTTAAAGTTCCCCTGGGAGGCAAGGAAGAGCAGATTAGCACCACAGAGCTTCCATGAAATGGCTTTAAGGACAACACAGCTGGTTCCTCCAAACACAGGAGGAAAAAGATAGTAAACAGAGTGGAAGCCTGAGACCAAGCATACCAATTCAGTCACAAGAGAGGGGGAGAAAGCACAGCCAGGACAAAAATAACCACCAAGAGAAGAGGTGGCTTGAATGGGGACAGCCCCCATAGCCTACAATGTTTGAAAGTCTGGCCCCCAGACGGTAGACTCTTTGGGAAGGATGAAGAGGTGTGGCCTTGATGGAGGAGGTGTGCTACTGGGCTGGGCTCTGGGATTTCAAAAGCTCACATCATTCCCAGTTAGCTGTCTCTGTTTCAGGCTTCTGGATCATGACATGAGCTCTCAGCTGCTGCTCCAGTGCCAATCTGCCTGCCTGCTGCCATGTGACTGCCTTCTATGGCTGTCATGGACTTAACCGCCCAGATCTGTGAGCTCCTGAATTGATGCTTTCTTTTGTAAGTTGTCTTTGGTTTCCAACCTGAGGGTCATGACCCCTTTGGGGTCAAACCACCCTTTCATAGGGGTTTCCTAAGACCATTGGGAAACACAAATATTTTCATTATGAGTCACAACAGTAGCAAAGTTACAAAGTAGTGACAAAAATAATTCTATGATCAGGGGTCATCACAATATGAGGAATGTATTAAAAGGTCGCAGCATTAGGAAGGTTGAGAACCACTGGTCCAGGGGAACAAAGGGGACTGATTGGCAGGAGAAGAGGGAGAAAAAGAGGTGGGGGAAGGTGGTAAGGGATATATATATATATATATTCAATGTTCCTATAAGAAAACACAAACATAAAATCTGGTCTGAGTGTACACTCTGGACGGGTGTTGGGGAGATTTTCAATTAGCAGCAAGAAGAGCCCTGTGGTCAGCAATCATGAGCTCTGGGCTGAGTCCAAGTTGTCATGCCCCTCCCCCTAACCCTAGTGTGTGGGTGTGAGCAGGGTGGAGCCCTCATGATGAGGTCAGTGATTCCAGTCACTCGTACCCCTTTTCTATGTGTTGGAATGTGGTCTGTGGCCAGGAATGATGCTCTAACCAGAACCCAGAATACACTGCAAGTGGCTGCCTGCCCCGAGCTGACTCCCAGCCCCCCCCCCCAGCATTGGGAAGAATCCATGTTTGTGATCTAAGGCCCCAAGTGGCAGCAATTTGTCTCATGGCTTAGACTAAAGAAGCAGAGGCAAAGCCAGCAAAAAAGCTCAGTAGCGTGCAGGTTCCCATGTGGGGTGAGTGGGGCACAGTGGCAGAGAATATGACCACGCTCAGTGTCAATTAGCAGTGATACTGGGTGTAAGTGGGAAGTTTAAATCAACTACACAGTGTGATGTGAAATGTCCTGGCTATTGGCAATGGTGGGATCTAACACTGCTAACGTGACAGGACTAACCACATACAACTATGGAACATTTGAAACACAGCTGGTTGGATGTGATTGCCTCTTGGATATAGTGTGTCAGCATGTTTTCTGTTCCTGTAATGAAATACCCCAAGCCAGGTGCCAATGAAGGGATTTATATATGTTCATGGCTCTGGAGGCTGGAAGCCCAGCAGCACAGGCCCAGTTCTGTGTCATGTCACCCAGTATGTAATACCACAGTGGATGGCAGCCTAGAAGGAGGTCACACGGGGGAAGGGAACCCCTCAGGTAAAAAGGAGTTAGTCTGAACCCCATCACACCCCACCTCTCTAATCCACCCATGGAGGCCCAGGCACCCAGGACAGACTCTGGGGACACCCTTCAGACACATCTAAACATCCTTAACGGAAAGCCTAGTTATTAAATCAATTCTATGTTCGTGTTTCCAATTTCAACCTGGCACAGTGGGGGTTGCCACTCACACAGTCAGAGCAGGTGACGGCTTCTGGGATGCTGTTGTGCAAGCACAGAGCCTCCCGAACTGAGGCTGCTTAGCCCATGTAGAAATGTGGGTTTAGCAGTCCACAAAACACAGCTGTTCTGACTCTAATGGCTGAAGGACATTCTTGCCTGATTACAGCTCTCTGCGATGGGGAAACAAGCATACAGGTGGCACCTGTTGCCTGCCCCTCTTGCCTCTGTGCAAGCCTTGGAACTTGGAAAGAAACTGACCAGGCCCATGTCCATTGAAAGACTGCTAGGGGCTGTCACTTTAGGTAGGGACCAGCAGGATGCACCACAGTGGCCAGTGGGGTCAGCGGCTGCTGGAGCATGGAGCCTTAGAAAAGAGCCATCTGCTGTCAAACCACCCATCCCCATTCTGCTGACAAACTTGCCTTAAGAAATAGTTCGATGTCTCTAACTTCTTCATTCACTGGAAAAAAAGGTGAGTCTCCATTCCCAGCACAGCTATGGCTTGTGGCTCCAAGAAACAGCAAAGCATATAGCAACTCCTAAAACACTGGATACATTGATGGGTGTTTGCTCATTGTCTATCCACTGGTCCTCAAAAGCTAAGGGAACGTCTGCCACTCATCATTTTTCTAAGGCACAGACTGGAGAGGAAGTAAGAAAGATTTGCATGCAGTGTTTCATTAAGTCTGATGGCAAAGTCAGGAATGATAACCTATGCTGCTGGGTTTACAGGTGTTATTGTCATGACAAGACTGGAGAGACCTTCTGTCTGATCTACGATACCAAGGGTCGTTTTGCTGCTCGTCGTATTACACCTGAGGGGGCCAAGTACAAGTGCAAAGTAAGAAAGATCTTGATGCTTGTACTACTCGCTACCCTGGTCCCCTCATCAAGGTGAATGACTCCATTTCGATTGGTTTGGAGACAGGGAAAATAACCAGCTACATCAAGTTTGACACTGGTAACCTGTGTAGGGTGATTGGAGGTGCTAACTGGGGAAGAATTGACATGATCACCAGTAGACAGAGACAGCCTGGCTCTTTAGAAGTGGTTCATGGCAACAGCTATGGCACTCGGCTTTCCAACATTTTTGTTATTGGCAAGGGTAACAAACCATGGGTTTCTCTTCCCTGAGGAAAAGGACTCCAACTGACCATTGCTGAGGGTGGGATAAGAGGCTAGCGGCCATACGGAGCAGAGGGTGAAATGGTCTCTAGGAGACATGCTCAGTAAGTATATGTACTCTTGCTACAAGCCTTTCTAGGCAACATGCATGATTAAACAGCATGATGAAAAAAGATTCAATTTATTTATGTGAGTAGGAGTGTGTGTATGAGTTGTGTGTGTTGTACATTGTATTTTGTGTGTGTGCATGTGTACAAATGTGTGTTGCATGTATGTGTTATATGTAAAATGTGCGCTGTATGTGTGTATGAGAGAGAGAGAGAGTGTGTGTGTGTGTGTGTGTGTGTGTGTGTGTGTACTTGTGGATGTTAGAAGACAACTTGCCCAAGTCATTTCTCCCTCTCTACCTCATGGACTCTGGAATCACATTCAAGTCACCAGGCCTCCCACTCAGTGCCTCAGCTCACTGAAGAGCTCTCTAGCCCCCCAAAACCATGTGTTTTGTGTGGTCCTCAGGACAAGACCCAAATCTAACATAGTTGATCATGGCCCCAATGCATTGGTGCTCTGTCAAGGACATGACAGCCCAAGAGGACAAGACACACAAGCAAACAAGCCATGAGGCGTGAGAACCTTCAGAAACTTCTGGAAACAGAATTGGATCCCTAAAGCACGGTAAATAAGAATCTGGGAAATGATAGGCTGATGGATGTTTATTCAGGGAGAAATCACTTACACCAGACACAGATGACGGCCAGCAGGTTCCCATCCCAAAGATGCCTCCAGATGCTCTCTGTCTCTGATCAGGAAGTAATAGATTGAGCGGGGATCCAGGACCCCAGACCTAGCTCCCTCCAGGTCACACCCACATTTGTCCCCATGCCCCAATGAGCATGGTCAATGTAACAGGTGTAGGCAGGGTAGATATCTCACTACAATTCCCCTTTTAGTCTAAAGAAAAGATTTTGGCCTGATAAAAAATTATATACAAAGACAGTAAATATCAAGTATGCTCTAGGAAAGGGAAAATTAAGAACATACACACTTAAGACCTATTGCCAGTGAGGTAACAAGGGCAAATGGCAAGAACTACATATCCAGTCCTAGGGTGAAGGCATAACAGAGATTACTATAGAGATGTTATAAGCTGGGAAGTTTAAGTTTTGTACCTAATATTTCTATCTAGGAAGAGAAAACAATAATTGTGACAGTCTAATCTTCAACCACATCAAAGACCTGAGAAGGAGGACAAAAATACTAGGGTAGGCAGGAAGTGTAGGCGGGCAGCTTCCAAAAGGTGCAGGAAAGACAGAAGCAGCCAGGCAGTGAGCTGTCTCTGTCATTTCTAGAGTTTATATACTATCCTTCTGTAGTCTATGATGGAGTTGAAGATAGATAGTTATGGTTATACTTTTCCTTAGTTAGGGTTAAAGATAAGTTACATATAAGACTCACGAAGATAGGATAAATGATAGAATATTTTCTTTAAAGCTTGCTAAATGTTAATGGACTAAATATTGTTAACTATAGTTTCTATTTGATAGCTGCTTTGTTAAATATTTTACTATGCTAAAGTTAAAGCCCTTCTTTCCATTTTACACAGAAAAGAGGAAATGATGGGAACTGTCACTCTATAAACATGTTTCTCTTTTTGGTTAATGAATAAATCCCTGTTGGCTAATAGGAAAGCAAGATAGGCGGGACTAGAGGACAAGGAGGATTCTGGGAGATGTAGTAAAGAGGAGTCAAGATGCAAGGACTTGAGAGGAAGAGGTCAAGACCCTCTCTCCACTAAGATATGGCTACATGAAAACACTTAGATTGATAGAAATGAGTTACTATTTAAGATTAAGTGGCCAATAAGAAAAGCTAGTAACCTGCCAACAATTTCATAATTAATACATGTGTCTGTGTGTTATTGTGGGACTGATGCAGCCCTGGGATCAGTACTGACAGGAAAACACTCATAATAGATACCAGACATGACCAATGTGGAAATGACCAGTCAGATTGGAAAGCAAAAAAAAAAAAAAAAAAAAAAAAAAAAAAAAGCAGAAGCATAAAGAAGCAGAATAATGTCACAAGCTCATGTAGGAATCTCAAAATTTATTTCATTTTACAAGAGTAGAAGATGGTAATAGAGGCCTGTGAGGACTGGGGTAGCTGAGGGGAGGAGGGAGATCACAGGGAAGGAGAAACATGTCAGCTCAGCTCTGAGACCCAGGACTAGGAACAGGAGCCAGAGCCTACTGTCTCTAACTAGGTCAGGTATCTAGTCTGAGCCACAAAGGGTCTCCCTGGACATACTGGGTAATGATAACATCAAAAGAGCCAGGCAAACAGAAACAGAACAACCAGATGGTCAGTGGTGAGCCAACATTAGATGCAGAACAAGGCCAGGGTCGCAAACAGACCAACCTATGCCACACAAAGCCTGTCCCCAAGGGTGGCCAGATGTCCTGGGGGTGGTCTTAGAATACTTGCAGGACTCACAGGTCATCAACTAGTCATAGGATAGTAGCCACCATCTGGAAAAAAGCGGGAAAAAGCAATATGGAAGACACTGGGAGCTGGCCAGGTAGACATGGGTATGAGGTAGAGCACAGTTATGGGAAACAGGACAGCTAGACTCATGACTCTGAGGGTCTCAGACCCGCACCTGGGAGACTCTAAAGCATGGGCAAGGTCAGCAGCAGCTGGACTTCTGTCCCGAGGAGAGGCCACAGCAGGCCTGGCTGGAGCACACAGGGCGGCAGAGCAGGGACATGCTGGAACAGGGCTTGCAGCAGCTGGGCTGGCAGGAGGAGGCACAGCAGGAGGAGGTGGGCACACAGCAGGCTGGTCTGCACACAGGGCGGCAGAGCAGGGACACGCTGGAGCAGGGCTTGCAGCACACGGGCTTGCAGCACACAGGCTTGCAGCAGACAGGCACACAGCAGGAGGACTGACAGCATGAGGGCTGGCAGCTAGACTGCTGGCAGCATGAGGAGGATCCAGAGCAGATGGGTGTGCAGCAGACAGGCACACAGCAGGAGGGTTGACAGCATGAGGGCTGGCAGCTAGACTGCTGGCAGCATGAGGAGGATCCAGGGCAGATGGGTGTACAGCAGACAGGCTTGCAACAAAGAGTCACACAACAGGGTGAGGAGGTGCAGCAAGCTGGCTGGCAGCTAGACTGCTGGCAGCATGAGGGTGTGCAGCAGGCAGATTGGCAGCAGGGGCTGGACACACAGCTCACTGGGGTGCAGACAAGAGTAATGCAGGAGGATGGGCCACAGCAGCTGGGCTGGCAGCAGCTGGGGACACAGCAGCTGGGGACATAGCAGCTGGACTGGCAGTAGCTGGGCTGGCAGCAGCTGGGCTCACAGCAGCTCTCTGGGCAGTCATCTACCTGCCAGGAGGAGTTGGTGCAAGCATCAGAGCAGACAGACATGGTGGAGGCGGCCATGGTGGGGTTGCAATGAGGAGGGTGAGATGTGAGTGAGTGAGTGAGTGAGTGTGTATGAGAGGTTCTCTGGTGGCTGCCTTTATACAGCTGGGCTGTGTGTGTTGTGCTACAGCTCCTGGCTTCCTTTTCCTGCTCTGTGTTTGGAGTCAGGCTGTTGTCTCACTATTGATGGACTGTCAACAAATACTGTAGTCAGGCTAGAATGCCCCTGTCTCTGGGAGAAACCCCACAGAGATGCCCAGATCTCATGGGAGGCAGGGATGACAGTGGCCAGGTGACATTCTGGGGGTGGCAGCCCCTGTCTATGTCTGAAAGCTTCTTTCTTGAGGCAGCTTCTCCACATGGACAGACATGGGGTGGAGGCAGCCCAGGCATGGACTTTGAAGATCCTGGCATGTGTTCCTGCCCTGTTCTGGAGGTCTTGATGTGCAGAACTGCCTCTGTTGTTGGTAAGAACTCAAGGATCTCCTGGTGCCTGAGGAGGACCTGATGGAGTTAAAGAGAGCAGGAGGGTGGATGCCTTCTGTCACACTTAAGTTGAACTTCTCTGGAGCCCCTGACAGTGCCCATAACATCCATTGTCCTTTGTTTGCTCTGAGTTCTGGAAGCTTCTCCTGTCCCCAGATTCTTCGATTTCCTGTTGCCTCATGGACACAGCCAGTACCCTCTTACAAAATACTCTCCTGGGGGTACTCAGGGACACGATGAGGACAATTAATTTACTAAAGCTTGTCCTATGCATCTACTCATGCTAAGCACTGTGACAAGCCTAAGAACATCATGAGTTCTGGTCACTTATCTATTCATAGTCCCACACTCTACCCCTTTTTTGAGGGTCAAGGGTACAACCTTGGGATATTCTGAACTTCTCATTCTATCATCAGGCACTGGCTGGAGTGGATTGACATGGAGATTGGAACCCTTGTGTCTCTAATGGAGGAATGAGATGCTATGCTAGGATCCTCCATGCAGTCAGTCAGATGTGGAGGTTTAATTTCAAACAAGGCTAAAACTCGTCAGGTTTACTGAAGAAACAAGCCTGGGCAACCACAGAGTTCAGCTGAGGAGTCAGGGACAATGGCTGACCCACAGGCAGAGGTGTTACACCAAGAAAGCATTGCCCCCAATCCAGGGGAAGACACTGAAAACTTCCTCAGGAACTGTGAGAGCAGCAATGAGCAGGATAAGTCAGACTCCTGGAAGCCATTGGCAGTGGGCGAGAATTACAGAGACTGCAAAGCCATTTCAGAAATCAAAGGCAAAATTGAGACATCCCAATAAATGAAACCAAGGGACCGCTGCTGTCCACAGGAGTGTCACTTGGACAAATAGGCACGGCACGGAATGGGAGATGATTTTTACCAGCTGCACATCTGGTAAAGGGATGATATCTAAAACATATAATGAACTTTAAAAGCAGACATCCGGAAACAACACAATTAATAATGGGGTACAGATATAAACAGTGTTCTAGAAGGCAAACTCATATGTTTGAAAAACACAGAAAATTTCAGCATCCTTAGTCATCAGAGAAATGCAAATCAAAACTACTTTTAGCTGTCATCTTGAAGCCATCAGAATGGCCAAGATCAATAAAACAAATGATAACTCATGCTGGTGAGAATGTGGGGGAAGGGGACCACTTACTCATTGCTAGGGTATGTGCAAACCTGTAAAGCCACTGTGGAAGTCAGTGTGGCGGTTTCTCAGGAAACAGGGAATTGATCTGCCTCAAGACCCAGCTGTACCACTCTTAGGCATCTACCCAAAGGACTCTACATCCTACTATAGAGACACTTGCCCATCCATGCTCATTGCTGCTCTATTTATAATAGCCGCAAATGGAAACAGCTTAGATGTCTCTCAGTTGATGAGTGGATAAAGAAAATGTTGTACATTTACAAAAAAAAAGTTACCCATATGTTTAAAGATGAAACCACAAAATCTGCAGGTAAAGTGATAGAGATAAGAAAAAAAATCATCCTGAGTAAGGTAACCCAGCTCCAAACAAACAAATATGGTATGTATTCACTTATATGTGGCTGAATATTAGTTATTAAGTGTTCACTGAGCAGTCTGCAATCGATATAACCACAGAGGTTTCTAATAGGTAAAAGTATTGGAGGGAAGGATTTCCCAATGAAGGGAAAATAGAATATTTAGTTATGGATGGACAAGATGGAGCTAGAATGGGAGAATTAAACTTGGAAGGGAATAGAGGAGGAGGTAAGGGAGAAAGTACAAGAAAGGACAACTAAAACTAAAGACTATTTGAGGTGTCATTTGGAAACCTACTGCAGTAGAGGCTTCTTTAAACATATATACATATGAAAGAAATATAGTCACTGATTGCAGGAGAGACAAACCCCAAATAGACATCTCTTGCCACCAAATTAAACCTCCAGTGCTGGGAAGGGGTGACACTGAACCAAGTTATGGGCCAAAGGGGTCCCATGGAAATCCCAATACAACCCAAGCTATTTCCAAGGTTACTCTCCACAAACTAAAGGTAAGACTCAATTGCTGGAGACAACACCTACACAACTCATTGAACACTGAGAACTTGAGCTTGACCCTACCTAAATCCTTCCCCATGACTGAGTAGTGCTCAAGGGACTGTAAGGTACTCTTCATGCTACCAGAAGAGGAAGGTAAACAGCAACCCAGCTATAAACACTACAATCTAATCTACAATGGTGATTTGTCCACAAAATACACTAGTGCAATAGTGGTCCAGAAGCTGTGGGAGTAACACCACTATCTGCTTGGATTTAAGCCTACTTCATGGGATGAAGCCCACACCTGACACTGCTCAGCTGGGCAAGAACCTAGACCTGAAAGGCCAGGGACCTAGTGGGAAAACCTAGCAATGTAATGACTCCTCATGACAGTCTGCTATACTTATACATAAGTGTCTTGCTCAGCCATCATCAGAGAAGCTTCTTCCTGAACTAGATGGGAACAAATACTAAGATGAACACCTGGAAATGTGCAGAGGCTGAGAGACCTTGAGCACCCAGACCTAATTGGGATGATTCCATCAAATCCCTCCACCCAGGGCTCAGGGAACTCTACAGAAGAGGAGGCAGAGAGAGGCTAGGAGGCACCGGAGATGGAGGACACTAAGGAAACTAAGCCCTTTAGAGCCCCAGGACTGTGAACTCATGTACGCAGTGGAGGCATGCATGGGGCCTGTGCAGGTCCAAGGCCGATGGAGGAGTGGACGCAAATCTCACCCCTAACTCCAGCTGATAAGCACTCAGTGAGGAAAAGTAGTTTTTCCCAACAGAGTCTCACTGTGGAAACAAACCACACTTAAGGGTAGGCCTCATGCCCAGCAGAAGATGGCCAACACAAAACAAGATCAAAGGTATTCTTGGAGTTGTTTGTTTTCATAATGCTTTGTCTGGCCATTTTTCTGAACGGGCATGAGGAGGCGGGGGCTCGTGCATGCACTTCTTTTAATCTAAGAGTCCTTTTGCTTATACATTAGGGTTTCCAACTGTGCTTTTTATGGGTTTTCTGTGAGTGCCAATGTATGTCTCTGCATATGTGTATGTTTCTTGTGATTTTTCTTTGGCTCGTGTGTGTGTGTGTGTGTGTGTGTGTGTGTGTGTGTGTGTGTGTGTATGTGTTGTTTTTTCCTATTCTGGTTGGTAATAACTTACTCTACTCACTCTAGAGTGATTGAATGCACAGGAGAAGCCAACAGCCCAGAGAAGACGAGAGGCTGCATAGCTTGCACCCTGCTCCGGACTCCTTAAAAATCAAACTTTAATGGGCCAGTCATTATAGCGTCCTTGTTTTTATTGAGGTTTGTTGTTTATGTGTATGTCTCTGTGAAGCATAGGTAGGTGCCTGTGGAAACCAGAAGAAGGTATTGGATCCTTTGAGGCTGGAGTTACAGGTGGATGTGAGTCATCTGACATGAGTCATGGGAACCTAAAGAACAGTAAGTGCTTTAACCCCTGACACAATTCCCTAGCACCGAGACCTTGGGGTCTTTAGACTTTATACATACAATATATATCCCAACAAGGCCATTGACTGACTGGGCAGAGAACAATATAAAGAGGCAATATCTATTGCATACATCAATATATGTGAGTTCATGTGTTTGCATGAAGACCTCTCTAGCCATCAAACTCATGTGTTCTGTGTTGTCCTTGGGAGCAAGGCCCAAATCTCAGAAAGCTGATCATGGTCCCTGGTGCTTCCAACATCTTTACCCAAGGCCTCCACTGTTCTTTTGTCAGGGAGGAGACCATGGCTCAGCCAAAAAGACAAGACGCACAAGGAAACAAGCCACCAGGAGTGAGAACTGGCAAAAGCTTCTGGAAATAGAATTGGATCCCAGAGATGGCCACCATGGAAATAACCAGTCAGGTTGGAAAGCCAATACATGCAGAAGCTCAAAGAAGCAGACCAAAGCCACAAGCTCATGCCAGAATCTCAAGATTTATTTCATTTCACAAGAGTAGAGGATGACAATGGAGGCCTGTGAGGAGTGGGGGAGCTGAGGGGAGGAGGGGGGTCACAGGGAAGGAGACCCCATGTCAGCTCAGCTCCAAGGCCCAGGGCAAAAACCAGGAGCCAGAGCCTGCTGTCTTTAACTAGGTCAGGTTTCTAGTCTGAGCCACAGTGGGTCTCCCTGGAGCCTGCTGGGTAACGATAACATCAAAAGAGCCAGGCAAACAGAAACAGGAAAACCCGATGGTCAGTTCAGAGCCAACATGGATGCAGAACAAGGAAGGCCAGGGTCCCAGAGAGACCAACCAATGCCACACGAAGCCTGCCCCTCAAGATAGCCAGATGACCTGGGGCGGCCTTAGAATGCTTGTAGGACTCACAGGTCATCAACTGGTCATAAGAGAATAGCCACCATCTGGGCAGATGAAAAAGAGTGGAAAAGCAATATGGAAGATACTGGGAGCTGGCCAGGTAGACATGGGTATGGGGCTGAGCCCAGTTATGGAGAGCAGGACAGCTGTGCTCATGACTCTGAGGGTCTCAGACCCACACCTGGGAAACTCTGAAGCATGGGCAAGGTCAGCAGCAGCTGGACTTCTGTCCCGAGGAGAGATCACAGCAGGCCTGGCTGGAGCAGGCAGGGCGGCAGAGCAGGGACATGCTGGAACAGGGCTTGCAGCAGCTGGGCTGGCAGGAGGAGGCACAGCAGGAGGAGGTGGACACACAGCAGGCTGGTCTGCACACAGGGCTGCAGAGCAGGGACACGCTGGAGCAGGGCTTGCAGCACACAGGCTTGCAGCAGACAGGCACACAGCAGGAGGACTGACAGCATGAGGGCTGGCAGCTAGACTGCTGGCAGCATGAGGAGGATCCAGAGCAGATGGGTGTGCAGCAGACAGGCTTACAGCACAGGGTCACACAGCAGGGTGAGGAGGTGCAGCATGAGGGCTGGCAGCTAGACTGCTGGCAGCATGAGGAGGATCCAGGGCAGATGGGTGTGCAGCAGACAGGCTTACAGCACAGGGTCTCACAGCAGGACTGTTGGCAGGGGGAACAGGTGTAGCAAACTGTCTGGCAGCTAGACTGCTGGCAGCATGAGGGTATGCAGCAGGCAGATTGACAGCAGGGGCTGGAAGCACAGCTCAGTGGGGTGCAGATGAGGGTCAGGCAGGGGGCTGGGCCACAGCAGCTGGGCTGGCAGCAGCTGGACTGGCAGCAGCTGGGCTGGCAGCAGCTGGGCTCACAGCAGCTCTCTGGGCAGTCATCCACCTGCCAGGAGGAGTTGGTGCAAGCATCAGAGCAGACAGACATGGTGGAGGCGGCCATGGTGGGGTTGCAATGAGGAGGGTGAGATGTGAGTGAGTGAGTGAGTGAGTGTGTATGAGAGGTTCTCTGGTGGCTGCCTTTATACAGCTGGGCTGTGTGTGTTGTGCTACAGCTCCTGGCTTCCTTTTCCTGCTCTGTGTTTGGAGTCAGGCTGTTGTCTCACTATTGATGGACTGTCAACAAATACTGTAGTCAGGCTAGAATGCCCCTGTCTCTGGGAGAAACCCCACAGAGATGCTCAGATCTCATGGGAGGCAGGGATGACAGTGGCCAGGTGACATTCTGGGGGTGGCAGCCCCTGTCTATGTCTGAAAGCTTCTTTCTTGAGGCAGCTTCTCCACATGGACAGACATGGGGTGGAGGCAGCCCAGGCATGGGCTTTGAAGATCCTGGCATGTGCTCCTGCTCTGTTCTAGAGGACTTGATGTCCAGGGGTACCTCCTGCTGTTGGTGAGAACTCAAGGATCCCCTGGTGCCTGAGGAGGACCTGATGGAGTTAAAGAGAGCAGGAGGGTGGATACCTTCTGTCACACTTAAGATGAACTTCTCTGGAACCCCTGTCAGTGCCCATAACATCCATTGTCCTTTGTTTGCTCTGAGTTCTGGAAGCTTCTTCTGTCCCCAGGTTCTCCATTTTCCTATTGCTTCATGGACAGAGCCAGCACCCTGCCTCAAAACACTCTCCTGGTATACTCAGGGACACTGTGAGGACAATTGATTTACTAGAGCCTGCCCCATGCATCTACTTATTCTGAGTACTGCTACAAGCTTTGTGGACATCCTGAGTTCTGGTCACTTCTCAATTCATGGTCCCTGACTTGCTTCTTTTCTGAGGGTCAAGGGCCCAGCTTTTAATTATGGGAGATTCTCGGCCTAATGTGGTCGTTTTGTCCTTCTTTGCCCCAAATAAACACATAGATGTTATATTAGTTTTAAAATGTTGGCTGATGACTAGGGTTTCTTATTGGCTAGTGCTGTTTTAGTTATTATCCCATTTCTATCAATCTAAGTGTTTCCATGTGGTCTCATCTTACCAGAGATGGGTCTGGACCTGTTACTCCTATGGCAGCCTATATGCTGACTTCTATTTCCTATACTTCCCAGAATTTCCTCCTCTGGGAGCCCCACCTTTTCTTCCTCCCTGACCACTGGGCAAACATTGTTTTATTCATTAATAAGAGAAACCTATACCCAGAAGGACATTTCCCCATTATCTCCTTCTTTCAGTCTAAATAAAAAAAAAGGTTTTTAACTTCAACATAGTAAAATTATATATAACAAAACAGTAATAAAGTAAGAACTACAGTTAACAATATTTAGTTCATTAACATTTGGCAAAATTTTAGAAAGTATCCTATCACCTATCTTACCTTTGTGAATCTACAGTTTTGTGTGTAACTTATCTGTTGTCATAACTAAGGAAACCATAGCCATAAATATCTGTCTTCAATTCCATTTAGAACACAGAAGGATAATATATAAGCTCTAGAATTGACAGAGACATCTTGCTGCCTGTACAGTCACCCAAAGTTCTTCTGTAGCATTGAGGCATCCATATTCACCTCACAGGTTTGTCTAACAGACTTCTCAGTGAAGCCGGAAATTTTAACCTATCTGCCTGTATTGGCAGCTTGTCAGTTATTTTTGTCTGTGTCCTACAGAATGACTGGCAGACTCTTCCATGAAGCAGGAACCCATCTTGTTTTGCAGGTTCAGCAGTCACTTTTCTATGGATCCTTCATGCTCAGTTTATACAGCATATAGTCAAACAATCCAGGCAAGAGCGGTTTCTTGCCCAAACGGTATTTTTGCCATGTTGAAGGCAAACTCCATCATGAGTTTCTTCGATGCCCATCTTCCTCTCTGAAGTAATTGGTGTTGCCAGGAGCAGTTATGCCACATAGTCATGGAAAACCCTAAACCATTTTAAATGCCAAATTCTGTAGGTCTTTGAAAGGTTTGAAGAATATCTATCCATTTGAAATATCTCTTTATATCTAGAAAATCTAACAAATATAAGTTTTGTCTATCATAGGTGTCTATACCCCATATTTAATTATACATTACATTTTTAAAGAGCTATATCAATATAATACATAAACAAGAGGAGAAATATACATATAACATGTATTCTGCTGATGTGGGGTGTGTGGTGGGGTGGTGTCAGTGTGGGTATGTGTGGGTGTGTGTGTGGTGATGGTGTGAGTGGTGTAGGTATAGGTGGTGATGGTATAGGTGTGTGTGGTGTCAGTATACCATAGATGGTGTGGGTGTGGGTGGCATGGGCTCAGATTGTGAGTGTGTGTGTGTGTGTGTGTGTGTGTGTGTGTGTGTGTGTGTGTGTGTGTGTAGCTCTGTCTACACAGATCACATATGAGTCATGAAGCTAACCTCAGGAGAGGATCCACACAGAACATGAGATCAGGCAAGAACAAAGCAACATAACAAATCAATAATAGAAAAAATTAAAAAACTTAGAAATAAGTGAAAATGGATACCATAGTCCTTACATAACCAGGAGGCCATAGGAGAGAAAAAAAAGGAGAGACTATAAAGTAGGAGAGAAAAAGGGAGACTGTAAAAAGTTAGGCTGAGATGAATGCAAACAAACCCCTCACTTGTTATCACAAAACTCCTGATAAGAGAAACTTCAGGAAGCAACTTCACCTTTGCTCAGGGTCTGCGGACACAGTCCCTCATGGCAGGGGAGGCATGGTGACTGGTGCCTGGGGTAGCTGCCACACACAACCTCAGTCAGCAGAGAGAGGACGGAAGAAAGAGGGGGGAGAGAGAATGGAGAGAGAGAGACAGACAGACAGACAGAGAGAGAGAGAGGTATGCTGCTGTTCAGCTTGCTGTATCCCTTCTATTCTGGCGGGAAACTAACCCTTGGGATCGTGCCCCACATTCATGGCGGCCCTTCCCTCCTCAGTTAATCCTCCTGGGAAACTCCCTCACTGACGTGCCCAGAAGCATGTCCCCTAGGTGATTCCAAATTCTGATGTGTCTGGCATCAGGTACCATAGTACAGAGGCAGCAGAAGCATGGACACCAGTGCAAGAAAGACCTCAGGTCAGTTACCTGAGCAGAGCCAAAGCACAAGGAGAAAAAACGAAGACCCCGGTGAAGACAGACAGAGAAGCATGGACTCCGACCCTCATGACCTCGTCTGAAAACTGGGAAGGGGGTGGCACATCTGAAGCCACTCTGAGGCAAGTGCCCCTCTAGAGCCATCCTCAGAGACAAGCATTTAGACCACCACCTCTGAGACACAAATGTAAAGTCCTTGGCAACAGATTCCAGCAGCAATGAAACAGACAGGAGCTGTGGGTTTTCAATTTGTCATGTAACCTTTGTGCTAAAGGCTTGGTCCCAGCTATTGGCACTGTTGGGTAGGGGTGGGACCTTTAAGAAGTAGAAGTAAGTGCCCTTAAAGGGGACACTGGGACCGTGACCCTCTTCCCTTTACTTCCCAATCACACAGAGGGAGCAGATTCCTGTCACACACTCTACCAAATAATATAATCACCACCTCAAAAGTCACAGCATTCCTATGTGACCCAAGAATTCCCCCTCAAGATTTTTCACCAGGAGCAATGAGAGTGATTCCACATAGGACATGAATGTTGACAGCAGCATCATTTACAAGCCCAGAATTGAGGCAGCCTAAGTGTCCATCAGTTGCTGACCAGAGAGCCAATACAATGTGAATAGTATGTGCACACAGCCAGTTATTCAGCCAGGACTAGCGATGCAACTGTGACACATGCTACAACATAAATGAAACCATGAGGACATATACTAAGCAGTTAGCCATGGAAGGCTGGATACAATGATCTACTTATGTAAAATGTACAAACAGATCAACCAACAGGCACTCACAGAGAATTAATGTAAGTGATGAGGCAGGGCCAGGGGGATTGTGAAAGGACACAGGACTTCTTCTTATGCAGTGATCAAATTATCCTAAAACAGATTGCAGAAATCCATGACTACAATGACAACCATTGAGTTGTGCATACCCATAACTGCATCAGCAGCCACTGGGCTGTGCAAACCTGTGACCATACCAATAATCATCAACATGTAAATATCACGAACTATGGTAGTAACCATGGAGATAATTACACTCATGCCTTTACCAGCCACCATGGGCAGTACAAGCCAGTGACCATATCAGCAGCCATCAATCTGTACATATCTGGGTTCACACCAGTAACCATAGATAGTGTATATTCTTGACTGCATCAGCAACCATTGAGCTATGCAGAGTCTTGGCTAGACCAACAACTATCAGGTCACCCAAACCAACAACTGTCACTTCTGTCACTATAGCAACAACCACTGGACTGTGAAAGTCACTATATAACAACCACTAGCTATACACACTCAAGACTATACTAACAGTCATTGGGTCATACCATTCCTTGACTACACCAACAACTATTGGGTTGTGCAAATTCTTGACTTAATCAGGCTTTGAAAAACTTATGCCTATGACAACAACAACCATGGAGCCATGCAAATCCATGACCATATTAACAACCACCAGGCCATAAACCTGCACAGTGCAAACCTGTGACTACACCAACAACCACTGGGCCATGTAACATGTGGTGATACCAATAGCCATACAAACCGTCATACAAACCATGACTATGTCAACAACCACCAAGTTGAAGAAATTAATGATTGTTCCATTTAGCCACACAAACCCATGACTAAACCATTCCCCATCAGGCAACATAGTCCCTCGGCTATCATTGACCATCGGCTGTGCAAACCTATGTATACATATCAACAACCATGCCACTGAGCAGTGCATATGTGACAGTACCAACAATTATCAGGCTGAGCCTGATACAAAGACAAAGCCTGCACACCACCAGGATGGGGCTGTGATATGGGCAAGGCAGGTCCTCCAGACCCCAGGTTCCTGTAAATTTTGTAAGCAGCTCTCTGTGGCCCAGATCAGCACAGCATTCTATGGCTATTGAACTGGGAACACCAGTAAATAAAACCAAGAAAAAAAATCCATCCTTG